TTTGGCTTTTTTCTCAGTCTTTGCTACGTGTTGATTTACCACAATGAACTTTGTTGGTAATTGTCCCACAAATCTGTCTGATTTTTATTATGTTTACTACGTAAACTGGCTTCACAAATCTCCATATGCCCTTCTCAGCATTGGTTAAACATTAAGGGCTAACACCAGTTAGTTGGAAGCGAAGGCATCAGGCCATTAAACAATTCCCTGTGGAACTGTGATTAAAATTTAGGCAGATTCTACTGAAACTCATGACTCCATTGTGGCCTGAGCAGATCCAATTTTCTGAAGTGTAAGGTTGTACTCTGTGCCTAGTGAAACACAAATGGACCTACAGTGCTGAGTTGGGAATATTTTGCCATCTGGGTATCTGCAACACAGCCACTTACTTAGTTCTACCAAGGCTAGCATTAAAAATGAAACGCGAGGGACACAGCTGGTCCTTGGATGGGCAGTTGCTCACTCTGCTTGATGAGTAATAAAGATGGAAGAGTGTTACAAGCCGATTATATGGCTAAATGTTACTACAAATACTTAGGTTGAGTCATTTTACTTTGTAGGTCCCAATGTTGGACAGAATCCTTTGTTCCTCAGACCGAAAAGGAGATTACCACACCAAAATCTGAAGGGATAACTACTTTGTCAAAAGACCAGATTCACCCTTCTAAGTTTAGGTGCTCCTCCTCAGGTAAAACGTGAATCAGCTTGGTTACTACTGAAGCATATCCAGTTTAAATTCTCAGCCACTTGAATACATAGACAGCTAAAGAGTTACAAGTTTAAAAAAAAGTAATATAAAAACCATCTGATCACAGGTGGATATATAAAAATCAGATCAACATGTTGAATAAATCACTTAGTATCAAGTAGATGAATAAATCATGTAATACTGAGCAGAAAAGGCCACTATGAAAGAGTGGAAAAATGTATCACAAAGAGACTGTTTTTAGAAGCAATGAAAAAGCAATGGGATTTTAAATACTATGAATTCTAAGAAACCCCTAGTCACACTACTCAGGGGTCTGAAACCTAACAAGGAATGAAGGCTTTGCCTAATTACTTGCAACAACATTCAGTGCATACAGTGCACTGTATCTCTATTAACGGGAACATATTATTAGAAAGCAACTTCTGAAGACTGGGGAAAAAAACATAACCTATGCATTTGCGTACTAACAAGGAAAGATAGAATTGAATAAACTCACAAAGGATGGGGAATTTGTCTGACTCTGACTAGAAGAAGCAACTGATCATGTCACCAGGACATGCTAAAGACAGCAGACATAAAGGCTTGTTCAGAATTTAGAAGCAGGGAAAAGTGCAAAATGTCCAGATAAAGCAGGAAATAGTACTATGCATATTTTCTAATCTCCTACAGATTATGCAGTATAGGGGAGCCCACTATTGGAATTTTAAGCTAATTTTTCGTTAGTAACGATTGATCAAAATGCTGAACTTAATGAAACTTCCTGTTGTGGAAACTAGTAGAATTGTATGAAAGAGCTAAGACTCCCGTAACAGCTCTACTTGTACAGTGATAAACAAAGCCAATGGGTCTAATCACACTGTTCTGTTGCTCTGTCCCGGGCAACAGAGCTAACCCAAGTGGCTGCTCTTTCTGCACCATCCATTCCAGCAGGGTCCACTCTCCTTTTATGAACCCCATGGGAAGGTAGCAAGTACATGCTTGAGGAATAATCCTCAGAAACAAAGTACTTTTTTGAGATTAAAGCAGTAGAGAAAGAATTTGAGGAAGTAGAGAGGTCCATCATTGCTACCCTCAGGGGTACCATAAGGTTGTGTCACATACAAGCTGGCAGCCCTAGGGATGCTGAGAGCAAAGAGACAATCTTCGCAGGATAGCATTAAGCTGATGAAGCAGGAAACAGTTATTCAGATGGACACTTCACCACCAGAAAATAAACAAGTAACCTCTTATATTAAGCTTACATTTCTAAAAATCACCAGCAGAGGGAAAGGATCTCCCCTACAAATCTGGGAAACGTGATTTTCTGGCATATAGGTGTCTTAAGTGTGCAGTAACACCAAACAAGGCTATGTGTTAACTTGTCTGCTAGGTGCAGAAATGGATTACCTTTAAGTTTGGACAGACAACAAACATCAAAGAGAAGCACACAGCCCATGCGGGGAGGAAACAGAAAACTAGGGACAAAACTCAGGTTTACATAGTAGCTGAAAATCACAGCCTCCACAATAGCATTCTCTGAAGTGTTCCTGGTACCATATAAAGGCTCAGAGTGTGACTCAAGAAATGGTGTAGGAGAAAACTATATTCATTAGAATCTGGTGAAATTTCCAAAATAAAACCTTTATGGAAAGGATAGGTTTCACTTAAATCAAAACAGAACTAAGTCGCTGTTATTTAAAAATAAATTCAGAAAGTTAAAAGCACATATTATAAATCAAGAGATAGGTTCCTTAGTTTTCTATTGCACCCAAAAGACTCTGGCAAGACTTATTCTTCCCATGGGTTTGCAGATGAGATCCTTTATGCTTGTAGCAAAGGGTTTCATCTTTTTTCTAAATTATCTTGCCATAGTTCTACAGCCAAGTTAGCACCAAAAAAACCCCTATTTTCCTCATATGGGTGTAACCCTTCATTTCTGACAATTCTTTTATTCTTATTAGCTTCCTTCACATTAGTCTTCAATCATATTTTCCAGGACTTTCCAGTACGATTTACCCTGGTCTCCTAACACAGTAAGTTCTAAATAATCTCTATAGCATGCATATACCTATTCAGTTATACACCTTACTCTTAATATTTGCAATTTCTCTTCTCATTTTTGAAGTAGCTCCCTTTAAAAGCATTAGCCCCTTTTGCAACCACTAAGATCTACTGCATAATACAGCCCAGCTGAATCCATATTGGTTGACCACCTTTAAAGGAGAAAATAGAGTAAGAGGAAAAAAAGTTGATCTTTTAGCTTTTTTTCTTCCAGTAACTACAAGCAATCTTTTGTAGTTGCTTCAAGCAACTATAAACTATTCCCTAAGTTTAGAAGAGTGACTTTTCCTCATCAAGACCCCAGCACTTCACTGAGTCCCGCTACCTTCCCCAACTCTTCCTCCCCCAGAAACCGGGCCTTGAAAGAAACCTCGACTCAAGGCCCGACCCGGCCCTGAGACATTGGGATACACAGCGCAAAAACACAGGCACAGCAGCTTCCCAGGCCTCGGGGCAGAGACTCCCCTCCACAAGGAGCCCAGAA